TTTACTGTACCAAATTCCTCATAGTAAATCTCTTTCCACTTAATATGCCTTAAGAGGTCTCTGTTTCCTCCACTGATCTCTCCTCTATGTAGATACACTAAAAGGAAACCCACAGCCACACAAACCCACTGGGGAACAAAAGTGTCAGTTTCCTTATTTGTAAAATAGGGGTCCTAAAAACATATGGCTCATTGAGTTGTTGGAAGGCCTGAGGTAAGTCAGGTAAGGTAATTAGCATGGTAGCTTTAGAGCAGTTTTGCAGCCTGCAGCTATACCCTGAGGAGGAGGGAGGTAGAGTCCTATGCTCAGTTGAAACAAGAGATGGATGATAAATGTTCCTTGGCAGTGTCCTGCAAGAGAGGCAAATGGATGAGAAACTGCCTCATTGTAGCTCTTTACAAGACTGCTTATATCCCTTTGTTTCAGGAGGAATCACCAGGAATTCTGGTAAGGTTCAGGTCAGGCCATATTTAAGTCTTGCCTATGAGGTTTATGTGGAGATGGGTAAGGCTATCAGGGTGCCGTGGTGGAACTGCTCCCCATAGTATCATCTCACTGGTCATTTGCCCATGGCAAAAAGGTAAAACAGATCTTTCCAGAGGAGACAGTTAGTAGCCATTACCTTTCCCAGGGATTAGACTCAACCACCACTAATAGGGCAACTCAGCATCAGGTTCCTCCTGATGGGAAGCAGTAAGATATACACAGGAAGGATTCCTGCCAAAAATACTTAACCTGCTTCTAATCAAGCGGGTTCTTCTAAGGAGCTAATTTTTGTTTTTAAGAACTACAGAAGACAGTAGAAACTAAATGACACATTGAGGAAACAAGGCAAATCCAGAATGGGAGACATTCTACAAGACAGCTGGCCTGGCCTCTTTAAAAATTCCAACTTACCGAGGGTGGGCAGGGTGGGGGGGTGTTGGCTATTCTAGAATTTTAGGAGGACTAGATAACTAAAAACTGAATGTGAACCTTGAGTGAATCCTAGTACAAAAATAAGCAAAAATAAGAAAGACTTGGGGTACAATTTGGGAAATTTGAATACAAGACATTAGGGAATTAGTTTTTCTCAGGAGAGATAATAGTATGAAGGACTATGTGTTTTTCAGAGATACACGCTTAAATATTTAGAAGTAGTGTCAAGATGTTTGGAAACCACTTTTAAATGGTTCAGTAAAAACATGTGTACACATAAACAAAGTAAATATGACACAATGTTAAAACTGTTAAACACAGGTGGCGGGAATAAAGGCAAGCATTGTCTACTTTTTATATATCCTTGAAAATTTTCATCATAAAATGTTGAGAGGCAGAGTAATACACATATTTTTAAAAACTTACTATCCCCCCTGTCCTGGCTGGTGTCATAGGTTTGATTTCAAGTCAGGGCACATGCCTGGGTTATGACCCAGGTCCCCAGTTGGGGGATACGAGAGGCAATGGATTGATGTTTCTCTCCCTCTCTTTCTCCCTCCCTTCTCTCTGAAAAATAAAATCTTTTAAAAATCAATAAAAATAAATTAAAAATAAAAATTACTACCCCAATGGCAATTGCATTCTAGTGGTAGTGGTACAATTTCAAGGATGAAAAAGTAAAATACAGGGAATATTAAAGGTTAAGTGCTTAGGAAACAGAAGGAGTGAATGGGTAAGTTATGTCTGTGGAAGACCTGAATGCAGGAGCAAGTGAGCTGTGTGGAAAAGCATTCCTGACAGAGCAAACAGCAAGTGCACAGGCCTTGAGGCTGGAGCCAGGCTGATGTGTTCACCTTCTCATTTGTTGACAGTTCCTGTCACCCTGAAGAGTCCAGGGCAGTAGGAACTGCACGAGCAAATGGTAGATCAGAGAAGTAGGAGACTATACCAAATCTTCATCAAACCAAATACATATACAATATATACAATATGTATTTACCAGATGAACCCCTGAAGTCTGCAGACACAGCTTAGATGCAGCAGCAGAGTCCAGAGCCTAAGGAGTCTCCCCAGAGAATCACAACCGTCAAAATCCAGACTGAAGAGCAGAAATTAGCCTTCGCACTGAGCTTCCCTGACCCTGAGCTACCTTGTGGGGGTCACCCTAGCCAAGTCCAGTGCACCCATAGATAGATTTAGGGCAACCTCTGCAGAGATCAAACTTGGCAAGAACAGGACAGAAGCCAAGGTGAAGTGGGACTCAGAGGAAAAGGACACTCAAGAAGGAAGAAATTTGGGGGTACATGACTCAGCTCCAAAAAGACAAACGGGAGCTAAAACAGACCCTATTAAAATATACAGATAAGGGAGTCCTGGCTAGCCTGGAGCAGAAGCTGAAGGAAACTGAGGAGGGTAGGATGGAGAGCAGGTATGTGAATCTTGAGCTCCACTTCATGGAGGTTAAGGACAACCTGGAGAAGGCCAAGGCCAGGCCTGTGCCACTGGGCACCACCATGGACACCACCCATGTGGAGATCATGAGCCCTGACCCAAAGAAAGCTGCTGCCCCCATCCCTGCTCCAACTCTGTCAACTCTGCAACAGCACTCAAGAAAAGACCTCTTTCCATTATGGTCACAGGCAAAGGTACTGTCCTCCAGAAAGCCAAGGAATGGGAGGAGAAAGGTCCAAGTGAGCAAACAAGCTTCATATAGACTCCTGCCAATACGGACTTCGGGGACAATCCTGCTTTGTTGAAGTCTGTGGTTAAGCAGCAGCTCTGTGAAAGGGAAGGTGAGAGTGACATCTGGGGCTGAAGCCAAGAATTGCATATGCAGCTTCCCGCCTCCCGCCTCTCTAGAGAAATCAAGCTACTACAGAGCAATGTTCTCCAGAGCTCCCTCAAATGGTGTGTCACAAAATCAACTTCATGGGGAGTGAAACTGAAAAATATCAGAACACGTTCAGGAAAAAAGGGTAAGCATTGTTTCATGGAAAGTTTGTTTCAGTATATGTATGTGTGTATTAGGAATGCACATTTCTGTGAGCTGCCACCAAAGAAGCTGGGAAGCTGCTCTTCTAGAGTATGCTTATTAGATTATAAGCTCCTTGTTAACAGTAATAATAAATAATGATTAATAATAAATAGAAACGCCTACATAAAATATGTATTAAAGCACTTCTAGACTGCTAATAGCAGCAGCCCCTGGGCAAAATTAGGTGCCTGGGGTCAGCGAAGTCCCACATCTTCACTTTTAACTGCATGTCCTATTTCATTTCAAATTTTCACCATGTTCCTTTTAAATCCTTCATTCTTCCCAATGTGTGCCATAAGCTCTACAGCCCCTCAAAGTTCCTATGCACGCACAATGGTCCTGTTTTCAGCCCCTCCTCCTCATAGGCAGCCATTACAGATCCTTCCCTAGGGCCATTTTCCTCAACCAAAAATCATCTCTCTGCACATTTGAATATCCTTATCCTTCAGACAAGTCTGTCACATAACCATCTGAGTGGTCTTGAAGAAACACCAATTTGGCCATGCATGGTGCTCTAGCTGGCAACACTGTCTCAGCAGTTCCCCGTCAACCAGTTTTGAGGATGATTGGTGAGAGAGAGAGAGAGGGGGCGGGGGGAGAGGGAGGGAGAGGCAGAGAGAGAAAAACCAATTTGTTGTTCCACTTATTTGTGTATTCATTAGTTAATTCTTGTATGTGCCTTCACCAGGGATCGAACCCACAACCTTGACATTATCAGGACGGCACTCTAACCAACTGAGGTAGCCGGCCAGGGCAAGAACCTTTCATTCATTCATTCATTCATTCATTCAAAGATTTTATTTATTTACTTTTTTAGAGAGGGGGGAAGAGAGGGAGAGACATCAATGTGTGAGAGATACATGGATTGGTTGCCTCTAGCATGTCCCTAACTGGGGACCTGGCCTGCAACCAAGGGATATGCCCTGATTGAGAATCAAACCAGCAACCTTTTGGTTCCCAAGTGGGCACTCAATCCACTGAGCCACACCAGCCAGAGCACATTTCTTAATTCAGCCTACTTAAATGACATCCAGTCATCACCATGCTCTACATGAAAGAGGAGGCCCAGAACACACAGAGAATTACATATTGTGCAGAAGACTGCTTATCAGATGATATTAAGTATTGTTAATTTTTTTATCAGTTTTCTTTTAAAGATTTTATTTATTTTTAGAGAAGGGAAGCGAGGGAGGGAAACATCAATGTGTGGGTGCCTCTTGTGTGCCCCCTACTGGGGACCTGGCCTGCAAGCCAGACATGTGCCTGAGACTGGGAATTGAATCGGTGACCCTTTGGTTCACAGGTCAGTGCTCAATCTAACAATACCAGCCAGTGCAGTATTGTTAATTCCTTAGGTGTAGTAACAGTAGTGTGATTATGTTTTATAAAAAACTTATCTCTGCTCTGACTGGTGTGGCTCAGTGGACTGAATGCTGGGCCTGTGAATTGAAAGGTCACTGGTTCAATTCCCCATCAGGGCACATGCCTGGGTTGCAGGCCAGGTTCCCAGTTGGGGGCATGCAAGAGGCAACTGACTGATGTTTTCCTCCCTCTCCCTTCCCCTTTCTTGAAAATAAATAAAATCTTTAAAAAAAAAACCCTCAAATACATGTATCTCTAGTAGATATATACACTTACCTATTTCTAGATAAACTATGATCTCTAAGGTTTACTTTAAAATTACCTTGATAAAATTACCTAGAGGGGGGAGGAGAATAATTAAAGATGAAACTAGTCATTTGTTGATAATTGTTGAAGCTAGGTGAGGTACTTATGTGTTTTTATTATACTAAGAAAAGTTTTAAAAATTATACAGATAATTAAGGGATCATACAGATAAATTTTAGCACATACTGGGGCTTGAGGCTATTTCATATAACCATTCACTCTATTGTCTAGCACAAGAGAGGTGGTCAAATTTTGATAAAATAAAAATTAAAAACAAAACAAAACAAAATACTCACTTAGAAGCCCCTTGTCCTGGTCTAGGTATTATTCTCAATCCAGTGTCTTAACCAATCATCCAGCTCTTTACACATACACAGTCTTACACTTTTCCAACAAGTATTTATTATTAGTTAAACCATGATTCAGGATCCTAGGGTGGGATGTGCCCAGGTCCCCCTTCACCTCCCTGGAAAAAGGATGGAAGACAGAGGACAGGTGCGGTGGAGCCACTTCAGATCTTCCCAGGAAATGTGCCTTCTGCCCGGCGGTCATCCCAGGCCGACACCTGTGGAAAGACAGCCAGTGTTAACTCCCTTTCTCTGTGAGGAAACCAGATGGGTGGACCTTTGTCTTCCTCACTTTGCCCACCTATTCATTTCTTTAGTCAGTCAACAAGTAACCCCAGTACCTACACTGTGCCAGGAGCTGGGGAACCAACAGTGATCCAGGAAGACAAGAATCACTGTCCTAAATGAGCTGACACAAGCTGGTTCCCTGAGGGGGAATAGAGAGAAGTAACATGCAGAAAAATCCCAGGCTCACTACAGGGCTGTCTATGAGGAGATATGTGAGGTACAGAGCTTCAAGAGAGTGGCTATGCCCTGCTTCAGGAACCCCAGAGCCAATACTCAATGATGTGTGTCAGAACAGAGGAAAGAAGGAATACTAGGCAGCTGTGAAAAAAGGTGGCAAATGGACTGTAGAGTGGGATACTACTGTTGGTCACAGATGTACGCATACACATAAAAAATGATGGATCGGTGTCACATTGCTAACATTCCCCAGACGTAACACTCTGCTCCTTGCAAACCCCTCTACAGGCAATTAGAAGCATATTCATTTTTATACACAGACATATGCAAACACGCATTTATATGCTATTATATAGCAGAGGAAGTGGATAAAAGCATGGATAAAGGAGACCAAATATAAATACTCATTCTATCATTTTCTAGCTGTATGACCTTGGGCCTCAGTTTCCAATTCTGCAAAATGAGGATACTGATAATATTACCTACCTCATCCTGTCTTTTTGGCATGTTTGCTCTTATGTGCTATAAAGTGCTTACAATGTCATTGGCCCATATGGTAAGTGCCATGTATGTGCTTATATTTTTTAAAAAGATTTTATTTAGTTATTTTTAGAGAGGGAAAGGGAGAAAGAGAGGGAGAGAAACATGAATGTGTGGTTGCCTCTCGAGCACCCCTTACTGAGGACCTGGCCTGCAACCCACACATGTGTCCTGACTGGCAACTGAACTGGCTACCCTGCCTGTGGTTAGCAGGCGAGTGCTCAAACCACTGAGCCACACCAACCATGGCATATGTGCCTATTTTATTTACATAGACATATGCATTGCAAATATTCTGTACTTCAAAATACACATACACATACAAGTTGGGTCATAATATATAGACTGTCCTGTAGCTTGTCCTGTAGTTTTCCCACAACTCTCAGAAATCTTTTTGTATTCTGTCATGTAGATCAATATAAATGTAACATTTTTCTAACCTGGGTTGTTTCTGAATCTTCCCCATTACAAAAAACTGCAATGGACACCTTTGCATACATTTTTGTAGGTGTCTATGATTTTTTGAAAAGTATGTCCCATCTAGAGTATGATTTTTTTTTTATTTTGAAATAGCCTGACAAACTGACCTCAAAAGTGACTGGAACAATTTATAGAACCACCAATATTTAATACTATCAACATTTATCGTTCTTGCAGCAGTCTGAAAGGTAAAAAACAAAACAAAACAAAATAAAAACATCTCTGTTGTTTTAGGCTGCATTTCCCTGAGTGGGGATGAACATCTTTTCATGTTTAGAATTCACCTATATTCCCTCATACTGGACTTGAACTGTCTACAATCCACAGTTCTCTAAGTGTGAATTTCTTAGGTTCTGAGTTTATGTCCCCACTCCCTTTTAAAGTTTAAAGGGTGAGTCTGGTCTGGTCCTTTGGCAAATAACACTTTGTCCATGTTATTGGACATCATATTTGTCCAATAATTTCTCTTCATGGATAGAAAACTAAAGAAACCATTCAAATGGAGGGGAAACTATATCTTGTATATCTAGAATCGTTTAGTAAAAAAAGGATGAGTCTAGCCAAAGAGGAAGGGAATATTTTTTAACTATGAAACCTGATGGCTACCCAATAATTGAGCATTGTGCACTGAAGTTTAAAAAAAAAAGGCAAAATTCAAAACAGTATCTAGAGTATGACTCATAAAGTACATAAAAAACACACCTACACATACACATACATTGGCACACAGAAAAGTAAGGGGAAGATTTACCCCAAATTTCTAAGGAAAGTTAATTTTAGGACTCAGAAGGGGTGACAAGGAGGCTTACTTCCTACATAAAATATAAATCTCTCATTTAAAGATTCTACAAAAAGCCAATGCTACTTTTTATGGAGAAACTAAAGATTTATATATTTGTTTATTTTTAAAAATTTTATAAGAGTTTATTTGAGCCTAACATGCCAGGAAGCAAGATCTCAAATGCTCCTAAATGTTTGTTTTTTTTTTTTAAACCAGAAAATAAAAGATGGTTGGGGAAAAAGTCTTAAATGCTCGTATAGGAAGTGTTGGACTCCTGCCCCTACCTCTCCAAAAATATACATACTGAGATTAGAGACTGAATTGATTACATTGTTTATGAAAAACAAATACAACAGCAACAACTAAACATTACTATTTGTACTTCATCACATTTTTGAAATAAAGAAGCCAGGGCTGCTGGGTATAAAGGGGCATGTGCAGAATACATTTATATCAAACCCTAATAGGCCAGACACAGTGGGCACCTGAATGGAAGAACCACACAATCTGATGATTCTCAGGTAAGGGTAGGCCCAGGTCCTAAAGAGTGGGGTGTAGGGCAGCATCAAGACCAAAAGCATGATCCTAGTACCCTGTCCAGCATGTACCCAATGCAAGCCCTGAGGTTGGAAGTGGGATGTTAGAAGATCAAAACATCATGTTACCAGCCCTGGCTGGGTGACTCAGTTGGTTGGAGTTTTGTCCCATGCACCAAAAGGTTGTGGGTTTGATCCCCGGTCAGGGAACATACCTAGGCTGCAGGTTCAATTCCTGGAGGTGGGGCATACGGGAGACAACTGATTTATGTCTGTCTATCTCTCTCTGGTTCTCTCCCTTCCTCTCTAAAATCAATAAATAGATCCTTAGGTGAGGATTAAACACAAACAACAACAAATAACAAAACCCATCATGTTACCCAAGATTACCCAGGGTTGGTAAGAAATCCTAGGAGGGCACAGGGTACTTAAGGAACATGAGACAGTGTGGCCACGGAGGGAAAGGAAAACAAAGTGGGGTGAAGAAGAATGCCATTAAGACAACTTGTTCTTCAGAAATAAGCCCCAAACATGTACATCAAGGATGCTTAAAATAGTGAAAAATTAAAACATAATCTCCATCAAAAGGGGATCAATTAAATGAAAGCACCTGTTAAGTTATTAAAATAACTCTGCATTGCCATAAAAAGAGGTTCTAAGATACACTACTAAGCCAAAACAAGTCATTGAACAAAATATATAGCATGAACTGTTCATATACATAAAGTGCCACAGGCTTATGTAAGATAAATTTATATAGAGAAAAGGGAATCGGTTAACAGCAGTTATACCTCATGGGAGGAGGACTGGGCTACTACTTTTTATTTTACTGTTCTGTTCACATCTCCTGCCTTTCTTTTTTTTTAATGAGCATTACTTTTGCAATAGTATCATATTTTGATTCTAAGACAAATGGTATTTCATTTTGACATCTCAGAAATTAGTACGCTTGTTACATTCATTTCCAGCATTTTAAAAAAGATTTGAGCACCTCTCAATATTTCTTGCACTTCATAGGGACTTTGATTTGAAGAAATATAATGTTTTTATTTTTATTTTTTAAAGATTTTATTTATCTATTTTTAGAGACAAAGGAAGTGAGGGAGAAAGAGAGGGAGATGTGCAAGAGAAATATCAATCCGTTGCTTCAAGCAAGTGCCCTGACCGGTACCTTCTGGTTTGTGGGACAACGCCCAACCCACTGAACCTCACCAGTCAGGGCTGTTTTTATTTTATTTTATTTAAAATTTTAACTTATTGATTTTAGAGAAAGAAATGGAGAGGGAGGGAGGGAGAAACACTGTTTTGTTGTTACACTTATTTATAAATTTATTGGTTGCTTCTTGTATTTGCCCTGACCAGAGATAGAAACTGCAACCTTGGCGTATCAGGAGAGAAACTCATGTTAAACATAAATCATTTATTTTAAAAGAGGGTATGGCAAAGAGTATTAAATGGTGACAAAAGGTCTGGTAAGATCAGGGCTAAAAGCACTGCCTTATCATGTTCATATTTTTTAGAGATGCACACTGAAGTAGGCAGGGGTGAAATGATATGTCTGGGATTTGCTTCAAAATACTTCAGCAAAGGAAAGAAGAAAGAGAAAAGAGAAAGATGAAGGAAACATGGAAAAATCTTGATATTATTCAATTTGGGTAATGGGTCTATTTCGTGGTCACTGAATTATTCTATTTTTATGTAAATTTCAAAATATTCTAATGAGGCCCTGACTGGTATGGCTCAAGTGGCTGGGCATCATCCTGCAAGGAGAAAAGCAGCCGGTTTGATTCCTGGTCAGGACACTTGCCTAGGTTATGGGTTTGGTCCCCAGGTGTGGCACATGTGTGAGGCAACCGGTTGTTTCTCTCTCATACTGATGTTTCTCTCCCTTTCTTTCTCCCTCCCTTCCCCTCTCTCTAAAAATAAATGAAATCTTCAAAAAAAATAATGTTCATAATGAAAAAGGACAGGAGTGCACAAGACAATGAGCTCCACAGGGACAGGGACTCAGCACTGAGTATACTCGTCTATCTGTAGAGTGCTGAGTGGGATGAATTTATCAAGGAGACAGCCCTGGTCACCTTGGCGGAGAGTCCTGACTTGCTGAGAATACTGGTGAAAGAAGGAAAGAAAGGCAGTTCTAGGAAGAAAAGGCCAAGTCCCATGAAAAGTGTGATGCTGTCTTCCCTCTGCCTCTTGCATCCAAACTTCCACCAAGTTACCAAACTCCTCTCTCCTAAGACCCCACGCCAGCACTCCAAGGGCCCCCGTAGGAGTCACTTACCCAGGATACGGGGCAAAGGGACTTGTACACACGCCGGTACCATTCGCACACGGAAACATCACCCCCTTTCGCAGTCATTGCCTTCTCACAGCGGTGAAAATCTGTGAAAAAAGGGATTCAGGGTCAGCCCAAAGGGCTAGGACACGTTTTTGAACAAAACTCACAGAAATACTTTTTACCTCACAACCAGTTACACGCACACATACACTTTACAAAGATTGTATACCTTTAGTATACAAGTATACTAAAAAGGGTAGCTATAAATCAGTAAGTTGACTTTGCAATCCCTAGAGAACTGCTGTTCAACTTGAAAACTGTGGGGTCAGGACTGGTGGGGTAAAATGACAGGCATGTGTAGGGATTATGGAAACCCAAACCAGGGCAAGGGAAGGAGAAGAGAGTATTGATCCTAAGATGCTGGAGTCCAAGAGAGGAAGACAGAAGGGGGGAAATCTGGCTTTTAAGAGCAAGCAAATAATTTTTTAAAAATTAATCCAGGTATTCTACTTCAGGGCATATTTCCTAGAGAGAAAAAAAGCACTCACATGGATTTAAAATTGCAACTATAAGAGTGTATATAGCACCATCATTCATAAAAGCCCCAAATTGGAAACCACACAAATGTCCATGAATAAACCACGGAAAACTTTACAGCAATAAAAATAACCACACTTATATGTCACAGCACAGATGAATCTTCAAAACTGTTGAATTAAAGAATCCAAACACAAGAAAACACATACAGAATTTATAAAGTTCACACAGAGGCAAACTAAACATGGTGAATAAACCAAAATGTGACTGCCTTCAGTCAGTGGGGTTACATCTCTGCTGGGGAAGAGTAGGGTGTTGTGGTCAATACAGGGTGTGCAGTAGGCAGGGGAGTTCAGAGTTCAGGCAATATCTACTTTTTTATCCAGGTTATAGTTACTCAGGTGTTCACTTCAGAGTTATTCATTTAGCTGTATGCTATGTTTTCTGTACTTCCTGTATGCATGTTCTCTCTCCCCCCCGCCCCCACACACAAATCTTTAAAAAAAGAAATCATTGTAGGAACCAGAGTTTGTGACACTGGCCCAAATCCTGAACACAGCTGCTGATAAGGAGCCTAGGCCCTGCGAGGTAGAATGTCCAAAAACAAAAAAGGCCTGGAATACGTCGGTCCCTGAGGAGGCCAAGAGGTGAGCAACTTCAGGTGTGGGAACAGGGGAAGATCAGCATTCCCCCAACTACCATGCCCTGTTTACCCAGGTAGTTCTGCCAGCAGTTCCTGGTCTGGTTCTGGTTGGGGAAGCGGCTATCAAAAGGGGCAGTCTTGTAGTTCTTGATTTTGGTCTTGATGTCTTCTGCCATGTTGCTGATTTCTGGAGGCAAAGAGAGTGGGTGTTAGCATGGATTCTACAGGACCTGAACCTGGGCATGTCAGCCCACTTGGGTCCTCAGGGGACCAAACAAAGACAAAGTCTGGGTGTGAATAAGCTACTGCCCCCTCCCTTTCAACATACACAGAGAGGTGAAAGGCAGGGCAAATCCATACATCTAAACATGGAAATGACAACAAGGTTTGGAGAGAGGATCAAGTCCTTGGTAAAATCAAGCCTTATCTGTCACAAAATAACAATAGATGAGACTCACTGAGTGCTGACCACAAGCCAGGTGCTATCCTATACTCTTACAGATTTACTTCTATAGCTAATCTAATAAAAGGTAAGAACTATTACTATCACTGTTTTACAAACAAGGGACGACTGATGTCTAAATTATTTCTCAAGGTCACAAAGCATACAAATGGTGGATCTGCACTCAGTCACTGACAAAAGGCACAATGCAGAATTTCTTAATGAATTTGGTATCATGAACTCTTCAGGGTTCTAATGATCTCTTTCTCAAAATATGTTTAAGTGCTTTAAAAAATTGCACAAGCTCAAAAAAATAAATAAATAAAACAACAAATCCCACTTACATGAAGCTGAGGATTCATTAACTACCATGGTTTTGAAGTAATCATAAGTGAAGATATTTTGTACTATCCGCAACCATAATGTGATATAAGAAGACATATGATTTTGATGCTGACATAGTCACAGATGCTAATACTCCTTAAGCTGTTACCTCCATACCTAATTGAAGCAAATGCTACATTTCAATTTGAGGTTATTAAAAATATAGATGTAACCCCCCCCCCAATCCGAGTACTAGAACCCCTTGAATTCTATAGAGTCTGTGGACTCAGGGTTAAAAAAGAAACAAAACCCTTTGCTATAATGTCTCTTATGAGACGACACATTTTTCACCAGGGAATGTGAAAGTCCTTCTATTCCAGAGAATTCAAAGAGTCGTAGAGTTATATAGAGATGCGCAAGCCAGTGTTAAATGGAAGCCATCCAAGGCAGTGGTGGGGATCTGGGACCCCAGCGTAGCGTGGGGGGAGGGGGTACAGATATCGGAAGCGGGTTGTAGAACACCAGCCGCGGGGACGCGGGCACGGTCGAACAGTAATTTGAGACGAGATTTTGACCCGCTATCTGGAGTGAGGGTGGATCAGAATGACTCTGCGGCCCCTCCAACGTCGGAGGGAGAGAGAAGGGGCCAAACACCAGAGAGCTAGGCTGCGGCCGGGCAAGCTGCAGGAGTTACGCCTGCGGCCCGACAATTAAGGGCATCGCAGGCCAAACTACTGAGTCCAAACTACTTAGCCTGGTCGCTAGCTAAGTGGTTTTATATCTCTGAGCTTCAGTTGCCTCAGTGTCAAAAGGGACACAGGTTGGTGGGAGGACTAAATGACTTAACATAAATCATTTGGAATTTTGCCCGGCCTTAAGGAAGAATCGTTATCTATGACTACTAAACACAACAGGGCCCCGGAAGGCCGAAAGCCGCCGGCCGGAAACCTCTCGTTCTCGGGGAAGCTACGGTCCGGTTCTTCAGTCACCCAGGATGGGGTCCCGGGTTCCCGACCCTCGACACTCACCTAAAGACGCCCCTGAAGCCGCTCGCAGCTCAATGTGACCCTCAGCAAAGACACATCCGCCTAGCCGGAAGCGGAATTTAGACGGACCGGAAGCCGGGCGGGTTATTGCTGAGTCTTCCATTCAGCTCCAGCGCCGAGGGGAGGCGGTCTCTAAGGCGATTAAGGCCCCACCCATTCATGCGAACTGTAACCTTCTATTGGGCTAAGTAGCTGTTCATCATTATTCCAGACCCAGTCAAGAGCTTGCATAGTATTTGGAAGGGCTCCGAGCTGGGGCTTGGTACACCTCCTAGTTACAGTTGTCCTCTTTCCCCTGGCATTACCTGGAGAAAGGATTTCTGTCTGGGTCCTGGAACTTGCTCAAGAGTGGGCCTGGGGAGATACCCAAGCGAAAGTACTCTTATTCGTGCAAGTATTATTTATTGAATGCCAAGTACTAAGGGCTGGGGATGCATCATTGAACAAAAGACAACAAACAATCCTTACCCTCATTATGATTATTATGGGGTCAATTGTTACGGTATTGAAAAGGCACCAGTCTTTTTTTCCCAGGGTCATTTTTCGTGTTAAGAATGCCCAGACTCCACCTACAAACCGCGGCAAGATTTGAGTGGCTGAGGACTCAGAAATCAGTCCTGCATCACGGAGAGGAGGGCTTAAGAATTAAACTTGCTTCTGTGAAGGGTCTGGCAGAAATCAGTCCGTCTGCGAAAAGGTCGACTCTTCGTCTGGACAACTCTTCTTCTATTTTACTCTCACACCCCATAGCTGATCTTATCAAGAAATGCTGTTGGCTTTGCCTTTAAAAATATACTCAGGATCTTCTGCTGCATCTGGTTCAAGCCACCAGCAGCACCAGCCTGGACTACAGCAGCAGCCCACTCCCTGGCCTCCTGGCTTCCCTGCCTCCCTCCACGGTCAGTCCATTCAGCCAGAGGGACCCTGTTAACACCTCAGTCAGATCAGATCCCTTCCTTAGCCTAGAAACCTACCCTGGTGTCTAGTCTGACTTTTAGTCTAAAGTCCTTACAGATAACCTACACAATTGGACCCCCTTTATACCCTCATCTTTGTAAAAACTGATGGAGGAAACCATATTCAAAATTGAGTTGGGAAGCCCTGAAGGAAGAGCTCTTGAGCCCTGTATTATTCGTTGCAGCATGCACAACAAAAAAGGAAGATAAGAATTATTTTAACAAAGTCTGTTTATCAACTTCTTGTCTGTGATAAGAATGTTACCTTTAAGGCGAAAGTGGTGACAGGAAAACCGAGACAACTATACTTGAACAACAATAAAAAAAAAGAAAAAAATGTTACTTCTTATCTGGTTCAAAGGAGGATATTTTTCACAGGAGAATTTATCTCTTGCTTAAAAGAAAAAAAGAAAGAAAAAAGAAGGTCCCTCTCTGCCCTTAGCAACAACACTCTGTGCTGCCAGTGGCAGCTAATTAGAAACTACCACAACCTCAAACTCTTGTTCTCTTCTAATGGACTGTGTTCAAAATAGCCCTCCCTAATTTCCTCTTTAAATGTAATAAAAGCTGAACTCCCCTTTTGTCTCTTTGGACTTGCCTGTAGCTTGCTACAGTTTGTCTCAAATTGCAATTCCTCCGTTATTCCAAATAAACTCAGTTTTTGTGGCTTGCCTCAGTTTACCTCTTTGTTTAAGTGAACATCTACGTGTATTCTGACTCTCACTGCTCCAGCCTGGGAGCTGCCCTCCTCAAAGTTCCTTAAAGATGCAGCCTGGCTTCCCCCTAAGGGCCTTTGCACTTGTTCCTTTGGCCTGAAGTGCTCTTCCCACAGCTGGCTCCCTGCCTCACCTCCTTCAGTTTTTTGCTCAAATGTCACCTTCTCAGGGAGCACTTCTCAGAGAGCCCTTCTCAGATCAAATATTTTAAGTTGCCTCCTTGTCAGTCTCTGTCTCCTTTCCCTATATTACTTCTCCATAGCACTTACCTTCTCAAATACAATAGCCTTCCTTTTATTCTGTTTACCTTCTTTTGTCTCCCTACATATAATAGAAGATTATAGAGGGGCAATTTTTTTTTTTATTCACCATTGTATCTCCAGCACCTGAAACAACACCTGGCACATTGAAGGAGTGAATAAAGTGCCTGATGGAGACTGGATGAAGGAGTTTTGTAAAGAGAGTTGCTTTCACCCTCCTCTTGGTCTTGGCCTCCAAAGCTTCCCATATACTATGTTGGGTGTGATACCCAGGCCTTATTGGGTCAGGGGCTTCTTAAATATTCTGTGTTCATCAACATTGTTACTATTGGTGGAACTACCTGTTTGCATGCTTTCATTCACTCCCTTCAATGATATCTTCCTAAAGCCAAAATCCTTTCCCTCTGTAACCCCTCCATAGCTCCCCTGTGACCTCTGGACAAAGTCCAGGCTCCTCACCATGACCCCAACAGATTCTTTGTGCAATGATCCATGGTCCCTTCTCCAACCACACTGACATTTCAGTTCATTGAACAGCGCTGTGAGATCTTTTACCTCCAGGTCTTTGTTCTTGCTGTTTCTTCTGCCTGGAACATTCTTTGCCTGACTTCTCAAATCAGCCGTTTTTACCTCTGGGAAGCCTTTCCTGGCCTTCCGTTCCCTAGGCTAGGTCAGGTCCCTCTTTTCGGATCTCCTCAACCCCATGGAGTTTCCTCATCCCAGCACTGACCACTCTAGGCTGTCCCTGTCTGGTGATGGGTCTTTCTCCCCACTGAATTGTGAACTTCCCCGGGGGCAGGGCCCAGAGTTGTCTTGGTCACTGCTGAATCCCTAGCATTGTCAACAGGAAGACCACTGAACAGGCTTTGTAGGAGCTCAGCAGTTCCCAGAATGTGGTAGACTCTGCTTGGGGTCTAGGTCTGGGTTCTATGTCCCCCTCCTTGGGTGGGGAAATAGAATAAATGGTTTTTGCAGGGTAAGCACTACGGGTAATTCCTTGATAGTCCCTAGCACTGTGGGGGTACACAGTAAGCCCTGTTTGGAGCCTCAGTTCTCTTTTCAAGGGGGACACAGTAGGTAAAGTCACAAGTAAATGATTGGGTCTCATTCTTTATGAGTCCCAGCACGGGGCAGGCGGGGGAAATGAGTTAGATTCTTTTGCCTGTCCCATCACAATGAGCACACAGTAAGTCCCTTAAGGGCCTACGTTTGTTTTGGTTTGTTTTGATCTTCGGATCACACAGGCAGTGGGGGAGGGGTGATGGTGCATGGGGATGCACGCAGGCTCCCCAGTAGGTCTAAGGGTCGTTGGGAAGGATGCAGACATCATGCGAAGGAGGTTTGACCGGATATTTTTATTGGGTTGCTGCTCCCTGTCCGCCCCCGGCGCGGTCAGGATAAGCTAGGCCGGGCACCCGGCACCCGAAGCGGTACGTGTACTTGCTCCTGCCGCTCTTGTGCACAATATCGCGGCGGTAATAGTAACGCAGGCCTCGGCTCAGCTTCTCGTAATTCATGCCAGGTTTCCTCTTGCGCTCGCCCCACAGCCGCGCCACCTAGGGCAAAGGCCTGATTTAGTCGAGGAGGTGGGAGGGGGAGGGCGTGGCAATAGATGGGTGGTGGGCGGGGTTCGGTTGTATTCTGGACTCCGGTTAGGTGGCGCAGAGCAGGGTTGAGGTGAGGGCGCGTCTGGGGAGGGGCCAAGGACCAGGCGAAATGAATGGCGGGAGTAGGCTGAACCGGAGGAGACTGGGGCTGAATTTGGTGGGTCTGGGAAGCTGCCCCACCTCTTTGGGGTCACACAGCTGGAACTCGAGGCTGTTGCCCGTCCAGCGGATGCAGCTGCTACGGGCCCCGTCTTGCAGTAACTCCAGGAGGAACTGCCACAGCTGAATGGGACCTGCGGGGTGGAGGCAGGTGAACACTCAGGTTTTCTGGCCCCCGTCCATGTCGTTCGATGACCCAGGAGTCTGGGCTCCCTCCTCCTCAGGGACCAGCGAGTCCAAATCCTTCAGTGTACGGGACCCAAAGATCGGCCTCGGGGTCCCAGGCTGCCCCATCTCGGAGACCCAGTCATCCAGACTCATGTCTTCCCTTCTCACCTAATCCAGGAGCGTAGGTCCTCGTTCCTTGCTCTCTAGAAGACTACTAACCCTCCCAGCCCTTAGGACTCAGGAGTGAGGGCAACCGCCACCTCCACTCTCCAGTGCTTAGGTGTCTAAGTCCAGCCGGCTCGCTGCCAGTTTCCCCGGTACCTCCCCCTTAGGCGCGCAGGCCCCTCCTCACTAGACTGCCGATTTGCTTATTCCGAGCGAAGTCTGGCAGACCTCTCACCTCGGTGGTTAGTTTTGGGGTAACGAGCCAAGGTTGCGCCGTCCGACTGCTGGCTCGGTTCGGAGGAAGTAGTGAGATCTGAACTCTGGTACTCATTCGAAGACGTGGTGCGATCTGTTTGCAACCCCAAATCCCAGGAAGTGGGATAGTCCGAGCCCTCTGGCTCACCACAATAGGTAGCGCCGTCGCAGCCAATTGAACAGTCCCAGCTGCTGGAGCTGGCTGCAGCCGTTGCGCGCGACCAAGAGTTGGCACCTCCCGCGGCAGTGGTGTTCTGGCCGGTGAACCCTAAAGACCCAGCAAAGGGGGCAGGGCCCAGGCCGGGAGGGGCGGGGCTCAGGGCCGGCAAGACTGGGCTCCAAGCGTCCCAGCCGGTGCACTCCAGTTGTGACCAGTCTCCTGACCACTGAAGAGCCTGAGAGGCGTGCTCTGCGAGGAGGAACGAACCCCAGTGAGCGGAGCCCCGATGTCTCTTTCCCTGGCCCCCTCGAGAGTTCGAGAAGTCGAAGCTCTCTATCCCTGCTGTCTGAGGCCCCTGGCTCCCGGATCTGGGAGAGGCCACCTGGAGAACACAGGTGTCCCCGGCTCTATCTCCATTCTCTCTCAAAGATTAGGGAGGCTAAACTTCAACCACAGTGGAGGAACCCAGACTCTTTCTTCCCTGTCTCCGCACACACTCACCCTCTCCCCATGGAGTTTCTGGGTGCGGTGACATAGAGCCCCAGTCCCGCTGTGGAAATCCTGCGAGGGATAAGGATGTAGCTGAATTTAGGAAGGGTGTGAGCAATGACTAAAGACTTCCCTCAATCACTCACCCGGTAGTCTTTTATTTGCCTGGGACGGAGAGTCACTATTACCCCCCACCCCCTACTCACTCACATCTAGGACTCAAGGACTCCATCCCCCTCTTCATCCTCAGGAGTTCAAGCCCGAAGCCCTCTCCCCATTAAACCTCGGGAGTCCAGGCACAGTCCCTTACTCCCTCAGACCTAACCTTCCCCAGCACCCCGGGGTCCCAACTCATAAACACCTTTCCAGCATGTCTCCTCTGTCAGCGTGTCCCCTTGGAGTGCCACTTCACGGAAATAGCCGAACTCAGCTCTTTCTGTAGACAAATCAGGAGGTTAGGGCGGGTCAGGGCCATCGGAGTTCCCCCGCCTCGGTACCCACCCCCAAACATATACACATTGTTTTAGCCCCAGCAGCCTACCCAGCCTCGACAGCCTGTTCCCTGGAGGTACTTCCTGTGGTGATGCTTCATCCCACTTCCACAAGTCCATGGATGCTCTTTGTGAATGTTCTGGGTTGGGGGTGGGGGTGGGATGGGGAAGGCACAGGGTGAGCTGGTGACACTTAGGGACCCTGCAGTCTGGGCCCCAGCCCTTGCTTCCCTCAGACCCAGAAGTCCAGGCCTCTGTGCCCTTCTTCCCCAAGACCCTGGAATCTTGGCCTCTGGGGTCCTTTTCTCTCAGACCAGGAGTGAGGGACCTCAACCTTCTTTTTCCTCAGACCCAGAAGTCTAGGCCCCCAGACTTCCAGTCCCCAGTTCATGGCTCACCTCTGGCGGGTTCCTCTGCCCCCAGCTGAGGGTCTCAGCCCCATTTCATACCATGCACCCCCTCCCCTGGGGACCTGGGCAGGAGGGAATTTTCCAAGACGTCAGAGCTGTGGGTCAAAGCTAGGGTCGAGTTGCAGGGGGTGGGGTGGGGCTGAGCTACACTCCCCCACAACCCAGGGATGGCCTCCTGCCTCCTAGTAGCTGGGGCTTTCCTGTTGGAGTGGCGTGGGGAACAGCAGCCTGGGTGACAAGGGGTGAAGGGGGTGTTTATGGGGTGATGGTGATGGGGCAGGGGGCTGGGTGGGCATCTTGGGGACTTAATCCTGCAACATGGGGGGTGGAGAGTCTGGGTGCAGCTGGGCTGCGCCAGACTTATCTGCAACAGGAAGGGGGGATTTCCGGCCAGACCCTCGGTTGGCCTACGTCACAATCCACAGGGCAACTGAGGGGGGAGGGAGTGGGGAGAGGCTGATTGCGATCCCTGACCAGCCAGAGTTCTCCTATTCCCAGGGCTTTGAGGACATTCTGGAGGAACATCAATCATGGTAACAATAGCATCAACAGAATAAACAGTAACAAGAGTAGCTTCAACATATGTTGAGGGCTCATTGCATGCCACCAACAATGCCATGGGCCTTTAATTTTCTTATGAGGTAGATACTAGTCTTATTTCCATTTTATGAAAGAGGAAATTGAAGCAGGCTTCCTCCCACTTTTCTTCACCTCCAGAGTCTGTGCCCTTCCATGCTGTAATAGTTTGTGACAAATGGGAAATTTGAGTATAAACTGAGATACAGAATTACTTTTCTTAGATGTGATAATGGTATTATAGTATAGTTTCTATAATAAACACTGAGATATTTAGGGGTGAAGTGCTGTCATGTCTGTAACTTGCTTCAAAAGGTTCATCAGCCCTCTCCATGTCTGTTTTTGAGTGTTTCCCTCTCCCTCCCTCCCTCTCTCTCGGTTTTCTGCCCGTTCCCAGTCTCATTGTACTGCTTCACAGTTCTCGCCTCTCTTCATCCTTTGGCCTCCCTCCCCACCCCTCCATCCCTGTCCATCTCAACCCATGATCCATTTTCCTCTCCCTGTCCTCAGGAAGACTTAAATGCACACTTTGAAAGCATTTCTGTCATGATTCACCTTCCTATCTCCTCCCTTGCCCCATGGTTAGTGAGCAGAAGCAGAACAGGAGTAGGGAGGGCTAGTAATGTGGCCATGGGTCTTGATGGTCCCCGGGCTGCGTGGTCCTGAGGTGGTGGTGAGGGGGGCGTTGAAGTGCACTTCCTGCTGGGGGAGGAGGTCCTCATCCCCTGACCAAACTGGAAAATGTGACGTCAGAGGGGGCAGGAAAGGAGAAAAACAGGAACAGAGGAAATCTGACACCTCTCTAGGGTGACAGGCTCTCCTGAGAGGCCTGGGCACTTTCCTTCCTCCTCCCTTGTCCCCTACTAATCCAGGGTTCTGATCACTACACCCATGGGAGACCCCCATCCCCACATGCTGGAACCATGCTATCTCCCTCTTCATTTCTGCCCCAGCCCCTTTCCAGACCCCCAGCCCACAGTAGCTTCAGGGCTCTTTTTAAAGTGCGGATCTGTGAGGCCAGTTCCCTGTTGGAACTGTCTCAGCTTCTTGAGACTGGTTGCTGCCCTCAGGGCAAAGTCTAAGCTCTTAGTCTGGTGTTCAGGATCCTGCATGGATACTTCCTTGGACAGGTAGAGACAAGCTTGGAACTGGAAAAAGAGATGGGGGAAGAGACCCATAGATACAGAGATTTGACTCAGAAAGATACAGATGCAAAGAAAGAGACAAACCGGGGAGCACTCACAGAGACAGAGAAGCATTCAAGGAGACCCCCCCACCCAGAGACATACATAGGCCGGGGTTCAGCAGAGTGAAGAAACTGGGAAATAGCCTCAGAGATCCAGAGGGTGAGAACTGCAGACTGGGAGAGAATGACAGAAGAGAATGAGACAGTGTCAGAAATGGCCAGTTCCTTTAGGAAGCCCTCCTTGACTCCCAGGTCACACCCTGAGCTCACCCACCCCAACCCTGACTGCTCTGAGCTGTCGCTGTTTGGCAATGGGCCCCTCTTCTGCCACTGGACCAGGAGCTCCAAGGAAACAGGGCCTGGGACCATTCCAGTCACCAGTGTGTCTCCAGTGCTGTGTAGGCCCTAGGTAAGTTTGCTGAAAGCCTCTCTTAGTAGAAGGCTGTGAACTCTAGAAGGGAAGAGCTCAGTAGAACCCCCTACCTTGGTACTGAGAACACAGGCTAGAGTCAGAAGAGCATAGGTCTGAATCTCAGCTTGGCTTCAGCCCTGCCATAGGCCTCAGCTTCCTCTTCAGTGAAATGGGTTGTACTCAGCAAGCACTTAAGAGGTTTCCAGATGTAATGGGCGCTCAATAGGGACTGAAAAATGACCATCTGCATTTCTATCTGGGTAAACTTCCAAGGCTCACCACTACTCCCAGGTGGGGAGATGCAAAACCTTGTACCCCAAAAAGCGTTTCCAAGCCCAGCCAGGGATGGAAATAAACAAAAATTTATTGAAACTGGTTTTGAGGAGGATGGTTGGGTGGATAGTTGGGGGTTTTCCAAAGAGAACACTGGGGAGGAGCCAGTGCCCCGCCAGGTGGGAGCGGGTGCCCAGCCACAGACCCTATCTCAGGCCCAACTTCTTCTTCTCCTTCTGCTTCTTGCGTACCACATCCAGGTTCCGGTCCTTCCACATGCTCTTGCGCAGCTTGATGGGGCGTGAGCCCACATACTTCCCTGTGGTAATGGAAGGTTCAAGGTCAGGTTTGGGGTTGGGATTAGGCCAGATACCTGCCACACCCACTGTCCCTAGGGGAGGCCTCACCCACCATTCATCTCACGCATGGCGCGTACATAGTCGCTAGGGTCCTTAAAGCTGACGAAGCCATAGCCCTTGGTCTTGCCTGTGCGCTTGTCACGGATCACCTTAGCCTTTAGGAAGGATGGGAAGCGGCTGAAAGCCCGTGCCAAGATGTCATCATTCACCTCATTGCCCAGATCTCCACAGAAGATCCGGAAGTCATCTGGGGTGGGAAGAGAGGAGGTCAGAGGATGCTGATGCTCGGCCCAGTGTTGCCCCTATTTAAAGGGCCCCATCTTCTCTGGAGGCACCTCCTCCCACCGCATCCCTAGCAGTCTCTGCCTGTAGCCCCCTTAGTAACAACAGCCAACACCTGTTAAGGTACTTACCCTCTCCTCAGCACTCGTAAGCGTTTAACACATCGGGCACTCTTAACAGACCTTTTACACTGAGGCACAGAGAGAGCAAGTCACCTGCCCAAAGTTACTCAACCAGTAGTAGGAGAGTTGAGATCAGAACCCAGGCATCTGACTCCAGAGTGGTTACTTTTAATTAATTGCACTACCCTTCCTCACCCTAGGATCATCTCACCCTTTCCCATGATTAAGCCCCTAACTCTGCCCCAGCCTTGGCCTCTTCTCTCAGCTCCTGGCATCCTTTGTTCTCCTGGACACCTCCCCATGGACATACCCTAGGTACCTGACACCACTGGCTCCCATAATGGCATCCCAGTACCACAGACTTCATCTTTCCTCAGTTGTTTCCTGAGTGCAAAGCCCACTCTTAATTCCCACTTGAGTCCCTGAAACCTGAACACACTTCCCAATCTTTCTCTAAGGCTGACCCTGGTTGCCATGTCTGGGCATATCCCCCACGGTGGGCCTGAACCTCAACTGAACATGCTCACACCCAAAGAATCCGTTCCCCATGAAGCACACACTACTATTATCCCCTTGTTGGAAATGAGAAAGATGAGACTGGAAAGGCTAAGTGACTCGCGCATGTCACAAAACTAGGGTCTATAGCTAGTACTGGCCACATCTGGGCCCACACTGCCATGATCCTAGCCTGGGGTGGTAGACCATCTTGGGAGAAGAGGCAGAAGTCAAGGACTGGGATGGCAGATAAGTCACTTTTCTTGGCTACAACTGGAGTCGCGCCCATGGTTTCTGTGGTAATTAAGGACAGTCTCTGAGAACAAAATAGACCAGTCCAGGAGAAAATAATCTGAGAAACTCAGAGGGTGATACCTTCTACATGACAACTCGTCTGGACACTTCAAATAACTATTATATACAAGACAAGGCAGTGGGAAACAGACCATCCTCATTAAAAGGTAATTTGAGGCATAAAATTGCATGTATCCTGATTTGGGGAAAAAGAGTTATAACAGATAGTTTGGGGGAGCTGAGTAAATCTGAATATAAATGGAATGAGAAACCATAGAATTATTGTTAATTTTCTTAGATGTGTTAATGGTATTGACATGGAAGAGACTGTCATTTTTCTTAGGAGGTAAATATTGCGGTATTTAGGAATGATGTAATAATTTATAACTTGCTTTAAATGATTGAGCAAAATGTCCCCAAACACACATACATACAGATAAAGTAAATATAGCAAAATACTGATTGCTGAATCTAGGTGGTAGATATATGGCTGTTCATTGTGCAGTTTAGTGTTTAACATTTTTTATAAAAAGTTGGGAAGAAAGCCCTGGCCGGTGTGGCTCAGTGGATTAAGCACCAGCCTGCGAACCAAAAGGTCCCAGGTTTGATTCCCATTCAGGATACATGCCTGGGTTGCAGGCCACATTCCTCATTTGGGGATGTGCGAGAGGCAAGCAACTGATGTATCTCTTGGACATGGATGTTTTTCTC